AGTGCTCTCAAATCATTGATAATGGATTAAGAATTCCTCTTTATCAGCAAGTACTGATCAGCCTTTTACTATTATCTTATAATAACATGTCTTCTCAGTATCATATTTCATCTGCAGACAGATGACCAGACTGAATATCAGAATCAGACATTAGAATAGCATCTTTAATTATTCTATTTATATTATTAGAATGATTGACTCAAACATCTTCTGACTGCTGAATTCGTATATAATAATGCAAAGAATGTAATCTTAAAAGTATCTTCTTTCTATGCTTATTATGAATATAATTCTTCATTACTCAGTGATATCACAGATAACATTTTAAAGAAGAGAATAGACAGTTAGAATGTTGAACAGATACAGAGAACAGAGTATCTCTCAGTATCAGAAGTAAAAGTGAGATTAAAACTTTTCAATAAAATTCATGAGAAGACAGTGAAAAGCATTCATCACACTCAGAAGCAGCAGATAGAATACTATAATTAAAAATGTAGCGGGCTGCGCCCGATCAATCATATAGACTATTCTGTTACACTTCACAGATTTCAACCACTTCATTCTTGAACATGTACACTCCGATTCGCGGCCATTCTCAATCACTGATCCTCGGCCGTCATGAACGCGTATGCTCTGATTCTCAGCCATTCTCGATCGCCGATCCTCGGCCATCATGAACATGTATAGATTCTTCCGCCCTGAAGCTTCACTGCATACATCATTACATACACATATAAATATTCACTTTAATCACTGATTCTCATACTTTCTCTTTCTTTTTCTTCTCTAATGTTTTTCTCTTTGTTATATAAGATCTATTAATATAATATCAATCTATTCAGTGTAGGTCTCTTATACTAGAAAAACATTTATCATCTTCTTATTAGAAATGATTATTCATGTATCATCTTCTCATTAGAAATGATTATTCATTGAGAGATATCTGAATGTGTAATAATATATAAGAAATGAAGAAACAGTTAAACAGTTAAGTGAACACTGAGTCTCTAGATAGAAGCTTACTTATCAGTCACTCTGACTCTGTAACAAGATGTTACAAAGAGAGTAAGATTTTATAAGAGAATGTCAGTGAAAGACCTGAGAGTTCTGACACTCAGATGTATAACATATTCATATAATTATACATCTGATGGTTGATATAATCATGTCTAATGATAATATGAAACTCTCAAATGTGAGTATAGATATAATGTCACAGTGACTCTGAGCAATGTTGAAATTATAATAATAATAAATAGCTGATATGCATGTAACTTAATAACTTCAACATGAAGAGATTTAATGATTAACTTATGCAATTTTAACATTTATAGAATTGAATATAAAAGCACTGAAGAAATACTTAGATGCTTCTGTATATTTTAATACTTTTAATCTCACTCTCTACTCATCATGAAGAATGAAAATGCTCATGAAACTGAGTGTAGATAGAGATGCTATCAGTTCATTAATTAATCAAGAATGATATATCAATGAATAATTGAAGAATTGTATGAAACAGAAGTTTCATTCATGAATGAAAGTATGTAAACTGATGTTGTGAATATCTGACAATATTATCAAATATCTTGATATTCTGTTCTGAGACACTGCTATGTAACAGAAAGTATTAGATTGATTACAGAGTGTCTGATAGAGAAATACTTCTCTTACACCATTTCTCTCTGATTTCAACATTAAAATTCTAGAAACAGATGATCAATCTTGAGAGAATTAAATGAAGATTAGTATACTCAAGAACACATTAACTTTCAAACTCTTACAGACTCTTATAAGTGTAGACAAAGATCAGACTTATGAAGGCTTCTGCATACAGCTCTGAATATTGAATGACTGTCTTATCAAGCTTAAGAGTATACAGAACAGTGATAGAAGACATTATATCTCAGTAATTTATACACCTGCACTGAAGAATAGCAATGATGCAGATGCTATGAACTGAATAAATTCAAATATCTATATACAAGCAAGAGTTTCTGCTTTTCAAACAGGCTTCTGAGTCCCTGAGATTACTTCTGACAAAGTCACTGATTAATGTCAATGTGAAGTATGTATTAACTGTAACTGATTAGAACATATTGCTTTCAACTGTCAATCAATCTATATATCTTCACACTTAAGAGAAAGATCAGCATCTTCTCAATTGAGAGAAAGATCAGTGTCTTCTTATTCAAAGAATGAATCAGTACCTGTTCATGTCAATCACATTGCAGTGAAGAAAGATTCAGAAGATAACTATTAAAATACTCTGATGAAACAGGGAAAAGATTAGCTTCTGTTCAAATTTGTAAACAGGAGCTTGAAGAGGTCGGATGATAATAATTTGAAGAGAAAATGATAATGAATGTGATTCTTGTATCTACTGTGATTGATAATATGTATAATATGAAAGTCATGATAGACAGTGATCTATATCACTATGCAATGATAAAATCTTCAGTTGTAAGATATTATAATCTTCAGTGTATTCTCATATCAAAACTCTGACTTCTCACAGAATTTGATAATTCAAAAGACATTTGTACTCATTACATAGTGAAGTTGATTATAGATGTGAGAGAACATCTATATGAAGATGCCTATATATATGAAGTTAATAATCTTAATTATAATCTTATGTTAGAACTTGTCTGACTATCTGAACAAGGCATCTTGTTGAATACTTAAAACAGAAGCTTGATATTCTCTAACAATAATAGAATTCATAAAGATGATATTCACAAGATCATGAATCTGACACAGATCTCTGTTAATATGTATGAAATACTCTGAAAAAGAAGTTACTGACAGTAGAACTATATAGTAATCTATTCTGCCAGTCTGACTGATATTAAAAAGACTCTAGAAAATTTATCTTATATTATAATAACAGATTCTTGTATGAAACTCTCTTAATAATATCATAAATATCTAGATGTCTTTTAATAAGATAATATTATAAACATACCTCTCTTACAAGGCCTTGAAGTGAATCATGGTACTAAGTTAGAGAAAAAGAATGATAAGAACTCTGAACTGTTATAAGACTCTCTTTATAACATGTTCTGAGATGAACTTCTTCTTCTTTGAAAGACACTCAATGATCTGTTGAATAAGAGATTCATATGCATTAACAACTCTTTCATCACAGTCTCTATTCTGTTTGCAAAGAAACCAGATGAAGGACTTTGATTCTGTGTGAATTATTGAGAATTGAACAGATTAACAAAGAAAGACTGTTATTCTTTATCTCTTATTAATGAAACTCTAGCTTGTATTGACCAAGCTCAATGATTTACAAAGTTAGATGTCATTATCACATTTCATAAGATCTGCATCACTGAAGAAGATAAGTAGCTTACAGTATTCTGAACATGATATGATCTCTTTGAATGAGTAGTCACACTCTTTGAACTGATCAATGTCTTCAGTACATTTCAGAAGTATATTAACTGAGCACTCTGAGACTTTCTTGATGAATTTACATCTGCTTATCTAGATGACATTCTCATCTTCACTGATGAATTCAGAAAGAAATATCAAGAGCATGTGTGAAGAGTATTATAATAACTATAAGAAGCAGAACTATCAATTGATATTAACAAGTGTGATTTTGAAGTCAAGAGTATTAAATATCTGAGTTTTATTATAGAAGCTGACGAGGAGATTTGAATGGATTCTGAGAAAGTCTCTGTTATTCTTGAATGAGAAGCTCTGTGTACTGTGAAAGATATATAAAGCTTCATTGAATTTGCTAACTTCTATCAGTGATTTATATAAAACTTCTCAGATATTACAAGATCACTTATAGAACTTATCAAGAAGAACTCAGTATTTCAGTAATCAGTGAACACTGAAGCTGTATTTATACAGATAAAGAAGATATTCATTAATACTTCTCTGTTAATAATATTTAACTCTGATTATAAAACAGTTATTGAAGCTGAATTCTCTGACTATGTAATAGAAGAAGTAATATTGTAACATGACAGAACCGAAGCAGTGGCTAGTCGGCGGTGTCATGTAGAGATAGTTGTTGAGAAGCTGTATGAGTGAGCTTGACTATCTTGCTTGAATAGTGAGCTTGTAGACTACAGAGTTATTGCAAGAATATCACAGATATGATACTTAATATACTAAGAAGATTGTATGAGACACATAGTAACTCTTGTATATATTTCAGTAGAAGAAAAACAAATTGCTGACTTCTTTGATAAGAAGCCAGTATCTAGCTATTCTATATAGATAATAAGTGAATACTCTTCTCTCATTTCATGAGTGAGAATAGCTGAAGTGATATCTTAGTAGTGTCTCATTGTCAAGAAAGAGTAATCTGCTGATATTGTATAGAAGTGAGATTCTTATATTTATCAATCAGATCTTTCTATGATATATCTGAATGATATTATAGAGTAGTTGAAAACTAGTTTGAATAATCAGCAGAATGAATGAAATTATTCACATGAAAGTAATAAACTGTGTAAAACTGTAACAGAGTCTTGACACAGCTGAGAGCATAATAATACTCTTCTCTTTAAGAATATAGTCTCTATTCTCTCAAGATTACTGAATTAGAAATTATCTTTGTTATATAACAATGATTACTAACTGATTGACAGTATATATACTGCATGTAATATAAAGAAATAGATGAGTTTTTCTACTAACTATGTAGATCTTTCTTTATTCATCTTCATTCAAATTAAATGTATAATAAGTGAGTTTCTTATATATTGATTTAGAATATGAAAAACATAGTTAATAAGTAACTTGTAGATCTCTCATCATATTTCATCTTATATATAAAATTCTCTATAAAAGTGATGTATTTCAGAGACAAAGCTAACAGTAGTAGCAGAATTTTTCAAAAAGATCTCTCTTCTCTATGAAACATTTTTCTTCTCTCTTCTCTCAATTATAACAGTGAGTACATGAGAGTATCATTCTTGAAGAATAATAAGAGACTTATTCTGACATTTTCTAGTGAATAATAAACATCTTCATGATGCAGCTGCAGTCTCTGTGACTGTTAAGAAAGCCAGATTGAAGGCAGCAGTGTTAATGAGCCACAGAAGTATCACTTTCATTGTCACATCTTCTTCTGCTTCTCTTGCAGCCATGGTGGTAGTTGCTGTATCTTGCAGTGAGATGTTATTTCTTCTGCTAGCTGATACATCTGTGTCTGGTCTATTTTCTGCCTCTCTCACTGCTGTTGCAACACTGCCTTCCCTCTCAGTCAATACAGTGATGTATAACCTCATGTAATCATTTGAAGAGAAACCTGAGAAGAGCTTGGTTTCAGAGACAGTGACTTTAAGAAGCTTAATCTGTAGTTTCTCTTCTGCAGCATATCTGAGCCCTGCTTGAGCTGCTGCTAAATTAAGTCTGCAGACTTCTGCAGTTTCTTCATCTTCTCTCTATAAGAAGGCTTCAGTACAGTCTCTGATCAGCATCACTACTTATCTGTACTGTGTTAAACAGCTGAAAATGAGAGAGATTTTATACACTTATTTCTTCTCTTACTTCTGTTATTTCTGTTATATCTGTAATAATAACTTCTATCTCTCTGTAAGTATTATCTACTCTATAAGAAGATGTTGTATCAGCTCTGACAAGAAGCTCAGATACTCAAGCAGTACAGAGTGAGAGTCTCAGAGCTTTAAGTATTAACAGATTCTGTCAAGACTGAGAAAATCTCTCTTACTTATCTATAAAAGAAGATAAAAGTATGAATCTCTGAGATGAAAAAACATCTCAGAATGACTAATCTTAAGAAGAAATCAGCTAATACTGCTATTAAAAGTGTCACAGAGATTAATTACTGATTGAAGAGAATCTTACTTCAGTTAAAGTAGATGACTGAGATGCTTTATAAGTTAATAAGTTAATACTTTCAGTATCTTTTATACTCTTCTACAGTATACTTCTCTACAGTACTGCAGTACTAACTTCTCAGCAGATAAAGATACTAATATCAGAGACTTTAATAATAAAGAATAAGTTTAATAAGAGTGTAGTTATTAATGAGTAGACTCTGATCTCTCTTTTTACTTTTTCAGTGAGCTGCAGCTTTATTAGAATAGCAGTAGTCTATAAGTTGATAATATTAATCTTTTTATTGATTTTTAATATCTCTTTTCTCTAACTATTTCAGGAATTTTATACTTATATAGTCTCATTAAACTTCTAAAAAACTCTTTAAGAGAAAATAGAAGAAGAGTGCTACAGAGCTTATAAGACACTAACTTATTATTATAAGATTATCTTTAAAAAACTCTTTAAAAAAAATAAGAAGTCTTAAGCAGTATTTCTTATTCAATATCTTTGATGTATAATAGAGTAGTCTCTACTAGCTGTCTTATAGCTTACAATCTCTTTCTCAGCATTTTTAAATACTTAAGTAATTTTATAAATTCTCTGACAATGAATAGTCTTCTCATTTAACAAGATATTAAAGCTTATTTTAATATATTCATTTATTCAATATTTTCTCTATAAGATATTCAGTATCACTCTTAATCTTAATATTATTCAGCTAAGACAGCTTCACTTCAGAGTATTACTTATAGAGCTTTAAATAGAAAATATGAAAAATAAAATGAATTAATTTCAATTCTGTGAGTAATTTTAACTCATATATCTGCTTACTTATTACTTTTATTACTGAGAAAGATTCTAGTTACTACTCACTAAGCTTTTTACACAGTCTCATTATCTTGATATTCTTTGCTGAAAGTAGTACTTAATTCTCTATTAAGAACTTCATTGAAAGATGTTTTTAATTATAGTATTTCATCTATCACTTCTGAGTGTAATGAATGCTTTTCATTATCTTCTCATAAATTTTGTTCAAAAGTTTTAATCTCACTTTTACTTCTAGCACTGAGAGATACTTCATTCTTTGTATTTATTCAATATTCTGACTCTCTATCTCTCTTTTTAAAATATCATCTATGATGTCACTGAGTAATGAAGAATTATATTTATAATAAGTATAAAAACAAGATATCTTTAAGATTACATTCTTTATATTACTATATATAAATTCAGTGATTAGAAGATATTTTAATCAATTATTCTGATAATATAAATAGAATACTTAAAGTTACTGTTCTAGTATCTGATTCTAATATTCAGTCTGATCATCTGTCTGTGAATGAAATACAGTACTAAGAAAACATCTTATTATAAAATAATAGTAAAAAGCTGATCAGTATTTACTAATAAAAAGAAATTATCAATCTATTATTAACAATTTCAGAGCACTGTGATTATAAATAATAATATCTAAAAACAGATCAGTCAATTCAGAGACTTTAATCTTTTTATAAATAGAAATATATCTGATCATCTTCATGAAGTAGTTAATAATAATTAAAATTAAGTTATATTCTTTGACTTTTATCAACTTCAGCAGATTAACTATGAAATTCATTAATAGATTCTGTTATAAGCTCTTTGAAACAGGCAGTGATATTAACTTGCTGTATTACTTATACTGTGAGACTTTTATTCTTTGATAGATATTACAAGTCTTAACATACTCTTTGACATCTGCTCAGAGCTTGTTCTAAATATATTTACATTTTAGAAGCATCTCAGTCTTCTCTAACTCAAAGTACTCTGTATGAGAATTATTATGATGAATTCTCAATAACTTCTGATGCACTGCTCTGCTACAAGAAACAAAGACTGAATTATTCAGTAGTAGAAGTTCACATTCTTCTAGTTATCAGTGACTTGATTTCTTAGTGATACTGCTCTGCTCAGAGTCTGTCTTTTTCAAGTTTAAATCAGATTCTTTCTTCTTCAACTTCTGAATTTAAGCTATAGTAGAGATATCTCTATTCTATAACTTATCAATGAATTCTAAAAGTAGTTAGATTAAAAGATTGTAGACTGTTTCATTCTTTATTAATTGAATAATTGTAAGATATAATATGAGAAGCTTATGATCTTCAGTATCAGTTCTCTGCAGAGACTCAGGTTTTCTTTCATCTTCTATACTGAGTCACACAGCTGTCTTATCAGTGCTGTTTCTAAGCTTCAGAGAATCTCAATTCTCTGCAGTCAGCTTCTTCTACAGTGATGATAGAGATTCTTTTATAGAATTCTTCTGCACATTAATAATATTATAATCAGGCGGTTTAGACAGTGTATTAGCAGGGTTAAGTCAATCTGAACAGTATTAAATATAGAAATCATACTCTGAAAGCAGCTCTGCTCATCTGGCTTAACATTCTGTCAAGCTCTTTGTTGTCAAGAAGTAACATAGATTTGTATAATTAGTAAGAACTTGCACTGAGTACTTACTATTCTGAAGAGAATGTTATCAGATCTTAAAAAATTCAATAATTACTAATATCTTCTAATTATGAGTATTATATCTTCTCTGTGTGAATGATAACTTTCTGAAGAAGACAGTCACTGATCTTTATTCATAATATCTTATAGACTCTGTGAAAAAGTCTTCTTTCACAGATAATTCATTATCTATTTTCTCAGAAGTGATTATTCTCTGATTCTTTTAACATTGAAAGATCTCTGATATCAACTGTGAAAAGATTTCACAGATTCTATTCTCAGATGCATCAGTCTCACACTGACTGAATAAGTCAGAATCAAAGTGATTCAGCATTATAACATCTGTAAAAGCTTGTTTCAATTTCACAAACATCTACACAGTGTCTTGAGTGAGAATAAACAGTCTCATTTTTCTGTCTTTCACACTTTTCTTTAACAGATCTGTAAGAGAAACAGTAATCTGTGAATATGTATAGATGAATTATCTGTAGAAATTTATAAATTTTAGAAATATCTGTATCTTATAATACATTCACAGCACTGATCAGTTCTCAATAGCAGAGACTCAGCTTCTGTTCATTGAAATGTCATTCATCTCAATAATATAATCTAAGAAATCAATCTTCTGCATGTAGAATGAGTATTTTTCAGTGTATACATAGAGTTGATACTGTCTCAAGTGACGCAATACTTCTCAAACATGAGTATCATGTTCTTTCTCTGTTTTTGAGAAGATTAGAATGTTGTTCAAGTATACTATGCAGAAGATGTTGACAAGGCCCTGCAGTGTCTTATTTATATAGATCTGGAAGATAGCTGAAGTGTTACAAAGATCAAAAGATAAAACAAGATATTCAAAATTGCTGTACTTAGTATGAAAAGCTGTTTTTTAAACATCATCTTCATTAACTCTGATTCTATGATAGACATCTCATATATCAATCTTTGAGAATATCTTTGCTTCAGATAATCAATCAATCATCTCATTAATGAATAGTAATAAATAGCAATTCTTAACTATCATCTTATTAAGATCTCTGTAGTCTACACATAGACATAGCCTATCATTCTTCTTAAGTATAAAGAGTATAGACATCTCTGCTGAACTCTTTGATAAATATATTCAGTTCTTTGATTACACTTCTTCAAGATATTTGTGTAGAACATTCAATTTCTTTATAGATAAGTTGTAAAGAGGCCTGTACAGCACTGTTACACTGTCTTCAAGATAAATCTTATATTATATCTTGATATCAGGAAACTTCACTGCTTTTCTTTTCAAAAAGACATTCTTAAAATCTGTAAAGAGATGTTGTATACATTCATCTTCAATGACAGATACTGCTACTAATCTTACAGTAAGAATGATAACTTCTTCATCTATTCTCAAGTTTCAATCACCTGCTATGCAGTATATCAACTCAATCTTTTTCTCAAGATTCTTTCAATGAAACTCTTCAGATTTCTCTATTACTATCTCTTCATCAGTGAGGCAGTATTATCACATCTGAGTAACTCAGTCAATGAGAGAATTGTTTTCTCTCAATTATAAAAGATCTAGAATAACATTCTCATCTATGATATTAACTGTATAAAGAAGCAGACTGCTCTTCTTGAAGATTTCTTCTGAATCTGTAATCATACACTTCACTTGAATTATGTTAAAACAGTGATATTTTATTTCATCAGTAAATTTTATATGATCTGACAGATCTATCTTCTTTCAATTCTTCATTAAAGAAAAGAAATAGAATATGAAGTTAATATTCACTTCAGAGTTGAGTAGACATCTCACTAATATCTTCTCATTCAGAGTATGCATTGTGATTATAACATGAACTCAGAGATGTGAGAATTATCAATTCTTTTCTTTCTCTTCTTTATCTTTCACAGATATGTTTATTAGAAGAGAAGTTAACTTTCAGAAGATATCTTCTCAGTTTCTTCTCTTCTTCAGCTTTTTACAATCACTGATATAGTGATTATCAGCTCTGCAGTTGAAACAGAGATCTTTGTTAAATCTTTTTTAACATTTCTTCACAGTGAGTGAAGAATCAGAATACTTGAAATTCTTCTTTACTTTCTCTGCATTAAAGTCATCACAGTATTATTTAAATCTCATCATTAATTACTTAGAAGAAGTCTTGTTAATCTTTTTTTTGAAGAATTGATTATTTAAACAGATCTGAGAAGTCAGGTTGACAAGCTCAGTGTGATTAATTAATAAACTCTGATATTATGATATTATTATTCACATCTTGTGAGTCAGCTTTGCAAGATAAAGGTGTATTTTTAATTAATTCAAATTATCAGTTAATTTCTCTCAATATTCTTCAAATCTTGTATTGAAATCAAAAGAATTCTCATCATCTTATTGATATAATGAGTTGAATCACTGCACTGCTGTGAAGCTGTGATTGCAGTAATCTTTAATTTAGTTCAGTAGAAAGTTCTTGAATTCTTCCTAAGTCATAACAGTATTAATACACTCAAGCTCTCTCTTCTTGATGACTCAAGTAGTTGCAGAGATGTCTTCAAGAAGATTGACAATGTATATTACTTATATCTCATGAGTATTATACTGACTCAGATTAAGGTGGAATTTTCATTCAAGAGTACAGATGAAGCTGTGAAATTCAGACAAGATATTTCTCTTATATCTCAGTGAATCTCTGATCTTAATCTCTCTATTTTCATGATAGATGTAGGTGTGTAGATGCCGCGGCAGTGGCAGAGTGATTGAGAAGCTGATATCAAAATATGCAGCAGGTTCAGAAATCTCGGATTTCTATCAGAGTAGAGATGTACATACCCTAGAGAATGATGTAGTGTTTCTCTCAGAGAATGAGATCAGATCAGTCTTAGCACAGGTGTATGAAATTATATCAGTCTGTTAGAGCTTGACTGATTCAAACTTATAATCAGATTGAGTAATTTGAATTGTAATATGATGAAACTGAAGTAGTGACTAGTCAGTAGCATTATGTAAAGATAGTTGTTGAGAAGCTGTATAAGTGGGCTTGACTATCTTGCTTGAATAGTGAGCTCATAGACTACAGAGTTATTACAAGAATATCACAGA